CGTTCAAACTGCCCAGTCTATAATATTACGAAAAATACTAGATGCTCTATTTTATGTATCGTACCAAACTACACATACATATTTACATATTCCTTTCGTACAAGATGAAATATGTTTCCGTTACGGTAAATTTCATAAAAACCTCCCATCTAACGTAAACCAACACATCAGAAACCTCGCATCCCGACAAATCCCCCCAAACCCTCCCCGCCGACTGAAGAGACAATGGCCGCGAGATCTCCTAGGAAGTGATGATGATGACAGTGAAAGTAATAATGACACACGTATCAATTGAACAAACAATATTATTGTAACATTGGAGTAATACCAATGGGTGTTTCCTCCACTCTTGGTTTTAATTTTGTTTTGTTTTAATTACCTTTCTCACTGTTACTTTTTACCTACTTAAGGTAGTTATAATATACAACAAATTAAAAAAAAAAAAAAAGAGACAGAGAAAGTTTGTGAGAAAGAGGCAAAAAATATGTGGAAGTAATCGATAAGACATAGATGAAGTGCAGTGCTGAAGGTTAAAACAAACGAGAAACAAATTAGGGTTTTAATTTAACAAGAATATAAATATATATTCTCCCTCATTTCATAAAATAATGAGAAATAATCTGGGTAATTTTCTGTTCTTCTGAAAAATGGGTACGGTCGAAACTCAGGAATGGTTTGTCATAAATTAGCTTTATCTTTGTTGGGAAGCACATTATCACGCAACCTTTCATAAATAATCATAAAATTCTGAACTTTTGTTTAATTTCTTTTAAAAAATTAATCGGTGGACTTTTTAACAAAATCAGATTGGATTATTTTTCGTTAATTTAAATATGAGTGGATTTTGTTTAAAGAAAAAATTGTTTTAATGTTTTCCAATTGATGGATAATGTCTCAAATGGCGACTCTATAAGTCAAGATCGATTGTCCCGAAACTCATCAGGAAGAAACAGGCGAAACCCATTAGGAAGATGTCAACAACGTGACTCGTGACCGTGACTTGCTTAAATTGTTTGAGCAAATTTAATAACGGCTTATTAACTACTCACCCGGGATATTAAAAGCTCCGACCCTTTAACAATTTCCAGCTGAAATTTTGCATCTCTTTAACGATATCCATTTCTCAAGAATTATCATTTATTCTAATATGCGCGCTTTTTGCGAGTTCTTTTAACATTTTACAAAGGAATGAGGGTGAAAATGAGTTTACAACGTACAGAATAAGTTAATAATTCTTTGATAAAATAGAAAAAACTTAGAAAAATGTTTAAAAAATTGTTCAAAATTAAAATCTTATACACAAATTCACTAATTTAGTGGTCCGCTTGACCAATTAATATAGGACAATTAATTAAGGTTTTTAGTTGAGATAAACAACTTTTTTCCATTTTTCAAATGTCGTGTAATCGGATTGGATTCATTCCGTGGCCATTTCATCTGTCGCCGAGAATCAAATTGATTACACGACAATCGAAAAATGGCAAAAAGAAGGGAAAATTCAAAAGGTGGGGTTGAGATGGGAAGTTACGGTTCACGATAGCTCAAATGGTAGAGCAGCGGCGTATCTAGCCGAAGATCGTGGGTTCGAATCCCGCTCGTGCCATTGACTTTTTTATCTCAACTAAAAACCTTAATTAATTGTAATAATTTATTAGCTTGAATGGCAGTGCTATTCACAATTACTCCGAGGAATATCGAGTCCTCTTAAATAATGTGAACGAAGTCTGGTTTTGAATGAAATTTATTAGCGCGAATGCGGAGGTTCATACCCAATTATCCTGAGGGATGTCGAATTATCTGGGGTAGTGTGAATAAAGTCAGGTACATAAGACAAGTACAAAACTCAAATCTTCTGAAATTATAAAGTTTCAACAATATAACAAAAACATAACGAAAAGGAACTTTTCTTTGCACAAAACATATAATAATAATAAACGCAGTGAAACAGCTTCAAGAAAGCTGAACTCCTAAAAAATGAGCAAAGTTGTTTTTTCATAAAGTATCTACTTTCCTTGGATTGGGTATAAAGAAGAAACAAATTCAAAATAAATCCTGTTTGGTTGCATTGTAAAGCAAGAGGACCAGGCATTCCTAAGTCTAAAAAAGGTGTTCGAATATACCAAACCATTAAGAGTTCCTATTATTATTTTTTTTTATTTTTTGTGGGAGTGTGATTTACAGTCTAACAATTCTCACATTCGATATTAATAGGATTCGTAATGACCATATTTAAAATGGGTAAGTCGGATAGGTTCAATCTGATGATCTTCTCTATTAAGATCTTTCCAGAAGTCCCATTTTCCTTGCAAGCCGAGGACTATTCAGACAGCAATAATAATTGAACCTTTATTACTTTTAATCATCTCCAAGTAACCGAAATTACAGGAAATTTGGACGATTACCAAAAGTTATCGATTAGTACGTAAATAAATCGATTAAGTCCGTACAGTACCTTTGAACCTCTGATGTACACTGGAATAATGGACTTTTCTTTTATAAGATAAATAGAAATTTTTCAAAGATTGTCAATATAATTAATGTACAATTTTCTCATCACTTTTGACCTATCAGCCTTGGAAGATAAGTAAACTTATTTATTATTAACTTCTAACTCTGACTTGTGTCATCGCTAAGGCAACACTTCACAATTCTGTTTTGTATTTAAATTATTTTCAAATAAATCCTTGTACTTTACAAATTCATAGAATGTAATTTTATTATTCATTAAAATATTTAATAAAATAAAATGCTCATACGGTGCTTAGGCGACAGACCTAAATTATATGTAAATATAAATAGATATTAAAGAAAAATGTTAAAATAAGTTATAGATCCAGGAGGACAACACCGATTTGCATTTCCTGATGAAGGAGCTGGGGCCATCTTGAAAAATGTCAGTCAATGAGGTAGAGTCATTGTGCACCCTGTACTGTTAAGCCCGTAGGAGATCAGGTGAAAATCCATATAGAAATGCTTTACAATACGAGCAAACAGGACCACAGGACCAACTGACGACCATGTAGTCGGTGAAACACTCAAAAATATACGATACTTGACATATCATTACGTAGAGTGCAGGGTAACGAAAAAGTAGATAACTTAGCCAAAAAAAGATGTGGCCGTTTCAAGCCTTTAAAATTTACCAAACGGGCATATTTAACAAACTCAAAGCTGCTCGAGAAAAAACTTGGCAAAAACAATAAACAAGGTCACCCAATTTTTTCAAAACGATAAAACCGGACATACCAAATTACACTATGGTTCAGTTCGTCTTCGGTGAGTAAAAACCTGTACAATGTGCAGACTAAGGTCAAATCGTAGGATTCGTAATCTGCATTTGAATAAAATAAATGTATCGAACTCCCCCCGCATTGCAGATTTTGTTCCAAGGTGAAAAACCTGGAACATATAATTATGTTACATCCTGCATTTTAAACACATAGGGTACTAATANTAAATCCCAGGCCCTGAAGATGATCTCAATAAAGATCGAAACGTTGGCACGATAAAGAAAATGTTTTTCTAAAACCTACATCACACCAGACCGCATCTCACGATTTCCGAATAGTTATATCTAAAGAAAGGCTATCGGCGGAGGTCGGTCCTCCGAGTAACGTAGCGGTACGAGGGGGAACAGGACGACCTGCTCCTAAGAAGAAAATTACAGGCTTCTAGTTGTAAATACGGATTTTATCCACAAGAAAGGGAACTGTTAAAATTCCTATTAAAAAAAAGACAAAGAAAAGAAGTTTAAGCTTTCCTCAGCCTGGATTGTAGCTCCGCCGTTATGGACCCTGGTGTTGACTACTGAAATAATCACACATCAGTAGAAATTTAAAAAAAAATTGAACTCTGTCTTTAAAAGAAATAGAGATCAAATCAGTTTATTTGATTTTATAGTAATATTGGTGCTTCTGCTTATAAGAGTAGTTTTTATTAGCTATTACGACCTTTGCTTACTGTTATGTTTCGACGGCATTTGAACTTTTGTTTATAAGCGATACTGTTGAAAAATGTGTATAAAATAAGTTTTGTAGTACTAATATAGTTTCTGGCAATAACCACCTGCTCTCATGGAAATAGTTTTGCCATAAACATGACCTCTTAATGCTAATTAAAGCTCGTACTGTTACCAAACATGTTTTATTTCACAGAAAATGTTACTACACAAAAAATTCGACTTGAATGTATAAAGTATTGATTTAAAGGATTGTATTAAAACTGGTAAATTTGTTGTACCAATGTAGCGTTGGGATTTAAAGGCTAGTACTAAATGACAACTATCTATTTCGTGATGACTTGACTAGGTGGAGTTTTTAGTGTTAAAGTTTGACAAAATTTAAACACTTTAATAGTAGTAGAGTTAAAATCATTTGATAGTTCTTATGTTGTTTCTTGGTTCTATACGTCAAATTTGTTGCAGCATCTGTGATATTTATTCTTCTCTTCTTTCTTCTTCGATGTTCGCTTGTTTTAAGATTTTTTAGTTTATTTTTCAACAACTTAAACTTTTTTTTAACTTTAACCTTCAACCATTTCAAAATATCCTTTTATTATATCGATATGGATTTCGAGGGCACCAGCGTCCCATCTTCAGACTGGTTTCAATTTTAGAACCGCATTTATGTGGTATGTTATGTACATAACAGTATAGTTAGGACTTGATAGAACATGAAATAAGCTAAAGGGATTAGGATGAAATTTCAGCGAAACTCTGAGTAGATGCAGTTACGCGGAGGATCGTGTTCTGTCGGGTTGATGAGTTCGAAGGTTAGCTGGGCATCGAACGGTCGATCAATCGAGAAGTCCACCGTTATGAGGAGTCCCAGGATGTAATAAAGACCGGCGAAGGGGGCAGGTAAGCGTGTGAAGAGTTTGATTCAACGATGCATGTCGTGACGTAACGCTAGAGAAAGAGAGAAAAAACAGGTCGACTTCAACATCGGGTGGGAGTCGGTCGCGTCTCCCACTACTGCAGCGAAGAGAAGAGCGAACCGGCGGGGGGCGCGTGGTGCCAGTCAGTGTCTTGGTGCCGCAACGGTGGTGGTGTTGTGTTCTGTTTCCTACCGTTTTGTGGGACGATGCCTACGAGGGATTCAGCAGGATGTCGGACGCGCCAACGCAAAGGGCACACTACTCGACAGCCGTCTCGGCCTTAGGTCTTCTCTGCTTTGCACTCGCCACTGCTGCCCTTGCTATACCGCTATGGGGATACTACCAAAACCCAGAAGGTAAAACCCTCAACCAAACTAATTAAACCTCTTGCACAATTTATAAACCGAAATTTCACATTCTATAAAAAAATGCGTGTTTAGATTTTTTGCGCAGATGCGCTCTTTTACGGGCAGAACGTGTTCAGGAATGCCATTAAGCAGTCGTCCTTGACTACCGTATGAATAATATTCCTAACAGACATACATTTTACTTTACAAAACTAAACAAAAACACCATATTGTCTTGATTTTTCAAGCTTACACGTATTCGAAAATTGAATATAGGCGGTTGTATTTTAAGCCGGCGCACAAGTCTCTTCTGCTTGACACCCAATGTCATAAAGATTCTACTTAACTGTTTCAAACTTTACTTGCTTTTGTAACAAATGAGATGTTCCTACAGAAAAAAAATATTTACCCTATGTTGCTGCAACTAACACAGAAATACTAAAAATCTATTTTTATTTACATCTATTGTAAATGTAGTTTCTGTTAAGAAAATAGTTACAATATAGCACTACGAAATATTTTAAGTTTTTTTTGTAATCGTACTTGCAAGATCAAAGACAAAGCCAAAAGTAGCCAATACTCAAAGGACTGTGTATTGGTACGCAAATAAATTTAAAAGGTAATATCGTAGTTTATAAATTGAACCCGAGGTAGCCAACACTCAAGAGACTTGGAGGTGGTACTCTAATTGTTGAAAAAATTCTAAAAGGTTTTTTTTTATAGATTTAATAGCTTATAACCCTTAATTTTCAAAATATTCATTTTTTATATCCATTATTTCTCTTGTTTCTTGTTTTGATCTTATGAGTATCAACTTAGATACTTAGGTAAACAAATAACAAGACGATAACATTAAAAATTAATGATACAATATCAACTAATTCTCAGTTTTTATATTGGTTCGTTGTAAATCAACGAAATATTATAATTAATTATAATTAAATCATTACAGGTTAATTATAATTATGAAAACTTTTGGTTTTATTTATATACGTAAAAATTGAAATTTATTAAGGAAGTGGGCTTTTTTTTATACTAAATTGGATTTTATCAAGTCCTTCACTATTTTTACCAGAAAAAGTATTAGACAGATAGATATTAGATTAGATAAATAGTTGTATACGTTTTCGGATTTAAAAAAAATACAATATATTTTTCATTAGAATCAGTCTTCTCTACAATCAATAAATAAGTCTTTCAAAAAGAGAAAGTGAGAAAGGTAGAGAGAGAGGGAGGGAGAGAGAGAGAAAGAAATAGAGAGAGAGAGAGAGAGAGAGAGAGAGAGAGAGAGAGAGAGAGAGAGAGGAAGACACAAAGAGAAAAAAAGAAAGAGAGGAAAACACAAAGAGAAAGAGAGGAAGACACAAAGAGAAAAAGAGAAAGAGAGAGAGAGGAAGACACAAAGAGAAAAAGAGAAAGATAGAGAGAGAGGAAGACACAAAGAGAAAAAGAGAAAGATAGAGAGAGAGGAAGACACAAAGAGGAGAGAGGAAGAGAGAGAGGAAGATACAAAGAGAAAAAGAGAAAGAGAGAGAGAAAGAAAGAGAGAGGAAGAGAGAAAGAGAGAAAGAGAGAGAGAGAGAGCGAGAGAGAGAGAGAGTGAGAGTGAGAGGAGGGAAGAATGCATAAAATAACGGGAGAAAAGAGTGTCAGAAACAGATAGTTATAGAGATAGAGTGTGCTTTTATGTGATAGTGAGTGATAAACAGAGAGCATAGAATGAAAAAAGAAAAGAATGATAGAGACACATATGAAAGTGAGTAATAAAGAAGGAAGATAGGGAAAGAAGAAGAGAGATACAGATACAAAGAGATCCATATAGAAGATAATGATAAAAATGGAAAATGTCAGATCAGATGAGTGAGTGAGAATGCATACACAACGAAAAAAAAAAAAAAATAGAAGTAGAAAAAGTCTGAGAAAGTACTTTTAGTTTTGCAAACAAAAAATTTTTTTCGCGAACATTATCGTACACAAGAATACACATAGATGAACCGTTTTACAATTTGTGTAAAGTTACAAATCTAGCTCTTAGAACCCTCCGTCGTGGGTTCAATTTCTACCGTCGCCCTGGACTTTTTTCACTCACCTCTTCCCCCCCCAACAAAAGTACGCGCAGCATCTTACAACCTGACATCTGGTTAATATGCATGATCATAAAGCTATTTAAAAAAAGTTACACATCAATTTCTAAAAGTGTGGTAAATTTTCCTTATTTACGAAGAAAATATTTTGTTGTAATTTATACAATTTTGACTTAATTAAAATATTGTATATATAACAACATTTGAAACGATTTGACTTATTCATGTAAATATTTATTTATGAAAATGTCTAGGATTGTAAAACTACTTGTCACCAACGAGAAAGTAAAAGAAAGTTTCTTATTTAACAAGCCTTCAGGACATTCAGTTTATTTATGCCACCTTTCTCCAACTATGGATGACGTATTAGAAATTTCAAATATGATTCGTTGAAATGGAAAATTTTCAAAAAACACCTTTTTTAAATGTATTGTCAACTTAAAAAGTCAATCGATAAAACTAATTGCGACCGGGCCTGGCCCAATATGGAAAGCAGCCAAAGATGAATCACCTCATGAGATAGTGTAACAAACCATGTCCTTCAGGTTGAAAGATGGTGCTGGATGGGCCGAAGAAGATGGCCTTAAGGTCTTTGAACCTCGAAACCGGCCAAGGGACAAAGCAAGGTCTCACATCTCACTCGGGATATGACGAACGTTTCGCTAATCGGTTTCGATCCCCAAGACGACGTATCTTATTAATAACGATCGTTTTCATAAAGAGTTTTTGTCAAAGTCTTGACACTGTTTATTATGAAAATATCCCTTGACATATGACTTGCCAACTTGCCAAGAGATCGCCGAAGTAGAAGAATTCTCGTGGGTGTAAGTTCCTTTGAATAAACATATTTTTGATGTTGTTCTACTAACCCTAAATTTAATTAGAAAAAAATTCAAAACTCAATTTATCTATTTTTTAAATATACACATTTATGCACTCTTCCAGGATTTGCAACAGTAAGAACGTTCTCTCATAATAGACATAAAAATCGGTGTAGCAAAGTTTTTACGTATCAAATCATTTTTCTTTAATTAACCATATTTTATAGTATTTTAAAATTGATTAACGTTTTATTTATCAAGTGTTAGATCAAATGTTTACATCAAGTCTTGATGAATCGCTGTTTAGGTCCAAAAAACAAATTTAACATTAAATTTTATATTTTGAAGTACATTGCGTGTTTTATATTTCCATAGATAGGCAGATAAATAATCAATATTTACTTTGGGAAAAAAAATTAAAATTAATGTAAATTTTAAATTAATAAATTTTAAATATTTATAATTAATGTAGAAAAAGTAACAAATTTGTGAACTCTTCCAGTATTCACTAGAGTAGATCTTTCTCGTATTATAAACTTAAAATCAAGTACTATGTAATGTTTTGTAGTTAGCAAAGTTTTCTTCTTAAATATAAAACATGAGATTTGTGATCTTGTAAATTTAATTTTGTTTTGCATCAGCAGGAAGGCAGTATTCACCATAATTGTGAAAGATAAATAAGGCTACATGGCCTTTTATTTTGCCAGAAGCATCCATAATTTGACTCCTAAGTTATTCATTACAGAATTAGAGTTTTAGTTACGTTTTAGATAATTAGAGGACTTAGAGGATTTAATTTTTTTTAGATATCTTAAAGCATATCGTCGTTTATTAACGTTAATGTGCAAAATTATTGATGAAGTTATTTGAATGATTTTTCCAAAGCAATATAGTGGATTTATTCCCAAACATTTGACAATATTTTAAGAACTGAGTTTTTAATGTGTGATTATGAAACTCCCCAAATTTGGTAATAAATTTTCAACTTAACTACGACCAATAATGAGCATGTGACAAAGGGAATTCCTGCCATGTCAAGCATAACTTGCCTTAACATAACATAACTTTTACACTGCCTGGATGAAATTTTTAAGGCGCTATTAAATAAATGAAGATCGTGTGATTTATGACTATGAACAATTACGATCGGAGCATTATAACTGAAAAAGTCAAAGAACTGTGTTCGACCAGTTTCCTGCCTGAAACAACCAAAAATGGTAATTTCTATCCAATTTTTTAAAATTCTATTATAATATGGCTGGATTATTCTGGTTAATTTAGTTAATCAATCAACCTTAGGCAAGTGAAGAGAATGAAACAAAGTCACGGTTTCATAGCATAAACTGGTTGCCGCAATGGAAAAGATAATGAAAGAAAGTCATGCTTTCACAGCATAAACTCGATGCCGTAATGGATCGTGATGCTTTAAAACCATTTTGCCATGGTCTGCATGAATAGCTTGCCATAATATTTTTTCAATGAATACCAACAAGCAGCCTGCGACTTATGTCCAATGAAATAATCATGATTACACGATGTATGATTCCATTATTGATAATTGTGCGTCTACTGAACCTTGACCAAGAAATAGCACATTATAAAAGAAAGACTAACTCCTTAAAAGGAGCCTCAAAAAATCTTGATTTTTTTCCATTTCTGAAATGATTTTTCTACAATAAAACCATTTTTGCCATGGCCTGGATGAAATAGTTTTTATGAAAACCGAGCGATCTTGATACGAAGAAGCATCCTGCGATTAATTTTATGCACGATATGAGTATGATTCCGTTACTTGGTAATTGAGTGTCTACTGAACCTTTACCAAGAACGCGCATATAATAAAAAAGAGTTTTCTGCAAGCATAAACGTTTGTATGCCTGAAAAGATCTCGACTTCTTCCATTTCTGATAGGATTTCTCATTAAAAACTGTATGCCACGGCGTGAATAAAATAGTTTTCTCTGATAAAATGTTTTTTATGCAATGTAAGCGATCTTGATACGAAGAAGCATCCTGCGATTTATCTTGCACTTATGAGTATGATTCCGTTATTTGGTAATTAACTGTCTACTGACCCTGACCATGAACATTAAGCAAGCATGAAT